ACAAGTGATTTCTCAAGACTTGGGATAGTCATGCAGATGTCGCCGTACCTGAAACCATTAATGGCTATACGGACCTCTTTACCTAACTTGCGTCTTCATTATAGGCACCCCCAGTAGATGACACGAATTTTGATCATTTTTAATTTCTTATTTTATACAGTATTCGTACATTTTGTAATTCTTCAGAATTTAAAAAAGAAATATTTTTTATTTTTTTGCAATTTGCGGACAATTATTCTATCGTCTATGACTTTAAGAATTTCAAAATTTTGATTTTCTTAATTTTGAACAGTAACGAAATTTTATATTTTTCTTAATTCTTATGGTTTTCGAATTTTGTTATTTCTTACATACATTGGTCATTTTTGGAAAATTTTGTAATTGTAAAAGTTTTGAAACTGATAATTTTTCCAAAATTTGATGACACGAGTCAGCCATTTTTGCGTGCGTATGGCTATCTGAGAAGTCAGGCGTGGTGGCGTTTATGTTATTCATGGCTCGTGTGTTGGTTGTATAGACGCTGGCAAACATCACTGGCATGAGTATTTGAAGGTTGAGTGGCTATTAGGTCGATAATGGTTTGTTGGTGGTGTTTGGTGATGTGCAGATGTTGCGGTATGTAAGGTGGTGATTCAGTGGTGGTTGGGTGGATGATTTGTGGTGATTGGTCGGAGGTAGGAGGTTGGGTGATTTTGTGTGGGTGGTGGTGTTGGGGGATGGGTGGATTGGTGTTGGTTGGGGATTGGGTGGGTGGTGGTGAATGGGATTGAGCGGGAGGGTGTTGGTGGAAGGTTGGTGGTGATGGTGGGTGGGTGTTGGGAGCTGCGAGTTAAGTTGGTGAAGTGTGCTGGTTGCTGGGTAGTGATTGAGTGGCGGTGGTGGTGGTGGTATATGTGTAGAGATGGGTGACTGGCTGCGGTCGGGCGGGGTTAAGATCATGGGCGAGTAGTGGGCGGTGGATCGGTTGTGGATGAGTGGTGGTTGTGGGGTGAGCGATTGGGTGTTGGCTGTTTTACAAAAAAAAGCTTTACACAGAAAAGAAAACACATTTTGCTTTCATTTCCTCACTGCATAGTTCATTGTATATTTTTCATCTCTGTACATTTCTTTAACCATACATTTTGCACTAGACTCTTTATTTCACAAATATATGATAATTCAACACCAGTTTCTTCTCAGTGGTCCAGTTAAAGGGAAGTCATAAATGTTAAAAATAAGCTATAATGAACAGCGTCCACTGATTTTCAATGTCATTATGGAAACACATTTTCAGCAACATTTATACAGTGAAAGACAAGGTTTTTAATTGAGACTAGCAATGGCTATTCAAATTCAAGACAAATCCAATTTTTTTCACGATGCACTGTTGAGAAATACTATAATAATAATGTCATAAATAATATTTAAATTTTTTTCTGCAATGCTCCAAGTTTTTCAATACTGCTGTCTAATTTTCGAAGCAGAAATGGTCAACAACTTTTCCAGAGTTCTCTCTCCAAGAGAAACGTTGTTTTTTGACGTGTCCTTTGTAACAGGGAAAGGGGGAGGGGTGGACAGCTGACATAAATGCATGTATAAAATCAAAGTAAAAAGTGAAGCAGCTCCATGTATCATTCAGTTCATGATGAGTAAGAAACAGTGGAGGCCATATTTGTCTTTCATTGTTATTTGTTATTTACAATGGGCAGTGGCGAATTCCTTGTTCGCCTGCAATTGGTCCAACTATTTTTTTGGGGGGGGGCATCTATGTCCCTCAATAAGGAAATTGTCTGCTTAGTCTTCCAGTTTCCATTATTATTATTATTATTATTATTTGTGTATGGGATATTTACACATTTCTATAATCTATTACTTTATAATTTTATTTTAAAATATTTCATTTTTCGTCATTCTGCTGATGATCTGTCTTCTCGTGGCCATCTATATTGCTTAAACTTTTCCTTTTCCTTGCCTGGGTTTTTTTTATTTTTTTATTTCGTAACTCCCACATAACAAGCTTAATACCTCACTCAATATTTCAAACTCATCCACTTCATTTCCAATGGTCTTTCTAGTAGTTACATTTTCTATAATTTTCTTTAAGTATAAATAGTCAAATCATCATGGTATGACAGTGTTCATACAACTTACTTAAATGTACTTCTTATATAGAGGTATAACCTATTATTAATCTATTATTACCTTGGAATGAATGCTTAATTTTCTTTCCAGTATGACACTAGCCCTGCAAACGGAAGGCTATTCTGATTGGAGGTGGTTTCTTCAAATTGCGGGCTACTTCCTTAAGAAATATATTACAATCCTTTCTTCGGTAGCGATGGGCCAAAAAATCAATGAATGAACGTTTTCAAATATTGATGGTGTCTTCTGCGTTGTAACGCAGTGGTCTTACAAGTGGTTACAAACATTTCGGAGGAATGTATCACCCCTATCTTCAGGGCATGGTAGGCGATACCACCTTACATCTACACCGCGGCCAAGACCTCCAGTTCGAATCGCCTAGCTGATCTCACAGAATGGCAAACGACATATCTTCCGACGCTGATGTCTGAAACCCCAACTAAGGAAAGAAAGGTGTTACAAATCGGCCACCTACCGCCCGATTCCTAATGCTACTCACCAAATGCTGAATGTGGGGAGGGCGCGGGTTTTGCAGGAAAAGAATTCAGAAAATTCACCTCATTTCCGGCCAAGCGACTACCTATCTAATCCTCTCCCTAAGTTTCATTCTGCAGTAGGGAATTATGTCACAGGTCATACACATGGCTTCGTTATGTACATACACAATATGATTCACTATACATTATATACAACTGTATGGTTACTATATCCCTGACTTCAACTCATCTCTCACTATTTCCCTAGTTAACCACTTATAACCTGATAATCTAATCCAAAATCATTATGAGCTTTCTATCTGAGCATGGTTTGATCTTCAATTCACAGTTAGGAAGCCTCCGTCCATTGTAATGTGTATCTTTCTCAGTATCAGACATGTCTTTCCTGTCTCATCGACGCATCAATCAGTCTCTCTGTCTGTCTGTCTGTCTCCTGTTCCAATTACCTGGGGGGAAGGTAAATTTTACTTCTGCAAGTCAGCATTTCACATAATTCTGACAATTTATTTATTTATTGCCTCTGTTTTCCTGGTGTTTGCATCCTTACACAATCTTTCATAACAACTGGTGTCGAGCCATTACATCACACATGCGAAAACAATCATGCCATGCCCAGTATACACTTTACATTTCTAACTTAATTCTATCAAAATGTAACTTTTTTTAAAAAAAAAACTTTATATCCTCTTAAATACTCGATATGAGCAGAAGTATGACAAATGACGAAAAAATAAGCAATTATCTTAAGATTTATAACCATTTCTATAAAGTTCCTCCATTAGTAATGCTTGATCCAATAAAACTCTTTTTCGAAACACCTATTTTAATATTGATTCTTCAGAAAGAAAAATATACTACAGCGTCATGGCGAAACACCGCGACTACCTACACTCAATTTTCCTGTCTACGAAGCAGATCAAGGAGGTGGTACCACAAATAATATTACAATCAAGCCAATACATTTAAGTGTGCATCTCTGAACCACGCGGGTCGTTCCTAACTCCTCGTGTGCAGCAAATTTGATCATCGATTAACCCAAGTGAACGGTAAAAGGAAACGCGTACGATGCTCGCTTGATTCCTGTCAAGAAAGGATTGTTTAAGTTCCATCTTTCGCCGTTATATGCGCTGAGGTAGCCATTGTTAGGCGCGAAGTGATCGATTGTCTTGCTGTTAATCTTCCTACGTCGCTTCAAAGAAATTAGTTGGAGCATCGTTTCTTCTTTTTTGTCCGAGGGGTGGGTAAAAACAAACGTTCGTGTGACGATAACGTCTTCCCCTCTGTTGACTGACGCTAGCTTGTTCTTTCGACAACTTGGTTGCATTAATTTCCCTTTACACGGGAAGAAAAAGTTAAATCCGCCGCTGACGAATCTATCGAGATAAATCGATAAACTGAACGTCTCATGAAAACTGAGTTTTGTTAAATGATACTTTGTTCTCGTATCACTGCTGGTCTTAGTAATTCTCCTCGATGTGTTAATTACTGTGCGGGTTCATTTTATATGTGGGGTTGTACAAAGAAGATAGTTTTCTGGAAGTGACGTTGAATAATGAAGTGTGGTAAAGTCGGGATTGGCGAAGTTATGGGTTCTCAAAGGGACCCGTGACGATGAGTATGAAAGTCCCGAAATTCAAAATCCAAGAACTTAACTCAGATTCGAAACGGATACCCGAGTGTCAGAATACAGAAATACAGTCTCAACCACGCCATTATGAAGCTGAGTGTCGAATGGACATGCGACAGTTATATGATCAACCAACAAAAATCATTGATCTACAGTAAGTGTTTCCGAGATGGTTTGTAAATCTACAGGGCGAAACAAAAAAAAAACACTTCTCAAAATGAGACAGCTTTATTTTGAGTTCTTAACGTACACGCTCTTGTATTCATATTAACTATGATAAATTTCACATTTTCGTTAGATATGCCTTCTTTATATAAGTGGAACTACTTAAATAAATAACGCCATCAAATAGAGAACTTGGGGCCTTCTAACTGCATCTTCAACTTTACCACTGACCTCCAAATAGAAGGCCTACTAAGACAGAGAATGCATGGAGCTTTAGTTTTAACCCTCTATACGCCACCGCGACGCAATGCTAACCTCCAAGGTATTAAACAGTTTCCACCCATGTACCTTAGCATCAATACGAAGTTAAATGAGAAACTGTGGTGTTCTCCGAAATTCACTGATGGCTCGACAAAGATTCGAACATGATATTCCGAAATGGATGTTTCTAAGTTCACCACTAAATCACTGTTGGTTTCTTGAGCGCCCCCCCCCCCCACGAACTAAATTTCAGTTCTGACGGAGTTGTGTGCTCGTCGTCCGCCGACACGCAAACATCTCCAGAACTTCGCAGTGCACGACACGCCGCTGTCCACAGAGACATCAGCTTATCACATGTGAAACACAACAAAGACGCTCACTGTATGTTCCACGACATCACATCACTTACGCTCGTAATACGCTTCAATAAAACTGTCTTAAACTTGTAAGATTATCCCTTCGCTTAGGAACGACGTCGTTAAGACGTATGGGGGGAGTGGAGGTATAACTAACCTCTATGTTTCCTTAAACTCGGCAATAGACGGAGGTGACGCAGGCACGATTAAGAATTAGTTAAAGTTTTTTGAGAAAAATAATAAAATGTTTCGAGTGTGATGTCTCCGTCATAATATGTGCTGAATGTAAGGAACCTACAGAAAAACACGTCATACGGATAAAGTCTGAATCGTCAGACCAAAGACGAGAACATCCAGTTTACCAGATTTTGAGTTTTATATCTAAAAAATCAACACGACGTATAATGTGTATATGTAGATATCTAATTAATATCATCGACGTCTTGAATTCCCAGTCGCCATTCCTCTCTGTCCAACCACCTTGCCCATTCTTCTACTGTGTCGTAGATCCTCTTCATTCGTCTTGTCCTTGTGGTCTCGTGTACCTCGGCACTTCGTTGGGCCGTATAATCTGTTCAGTTCTCACACATAACCTCACATAAAAGTTCGTGAACCCATTTATCTCAGATTACGCATCTTGGGATTTTATTTTCCTAAAAAAATTTCATTCCCACTGTGAAAAATGTTTGGCACTCTTCTTAAAATTCTAGACTTATAAACAATTTTATACAACATAATTTATTGTCTTGTGAATATATTTTGTATATTTTGTGATTCTTTAATGCCAAGATACAGAACAGTTTCTGGTACACAGGACCTCCTCTCCAAAATTATGTCAAATATTTTAATTAAATAGATTAAATATTTAATTAAAATATAAGTAGAAGGTATTAGATTTATTCTGTCCTGAATCCAAGAATCAGTACGGACTATTTCAAAATATTAAATCTTAACTTACTGCAATTTACCTTCATAAGGAACATTCAGAAATAGGTTTCAGGATATTTTAAATACAATTTCAATTATACTGTGGGTTGGGAACATGGCAGAAAAGAAACATATCGAGTACATATTACCAGAAATTGCTTCTTGGCATGTTTAAGGTGTCTATATCCCAACACAAACGTGCTTGATGTGCTGTGAACGGGTGCCAGAGTCTCACACGCTGCTTGACAGCATGCCGGCACTATACACTCAAATACGGAACGAACCGGGCTTGACTCGCGATGCGCAGAAGCTAAGTCCGAAGCACAGGAGAAGAAGTCCCACTGCACTGCCCAACAGGTACACGGACCACGATAACTCACAGGTACCTGAAACAACAGCGTTCGACTTCACCGCTGTCGTCAGGGTTGTACCGCCGTGCAGTTCGGCAAACTTCTACCAAGACTACACGGCGCGACAACCCAGAAGGAGACAGCCATGTTCACACTCGTCGCCTTCAGAACCTCAGATTCTGCTAGATTTGTCTGTTACATAGACAACAAATTTTAATGAGTTGTATATATCGGAGATGAAACTAATCAATTCTTATGTATTTTCGTCCGCTAAATTCGAAAATGACAATAAAAAGGCTTAGTTAGTTCGCGTTTTGAAGATATTTTGTACTTTGTAAAATATCACCAAAAAATTCGTCCATATGATATGCAAATGTTTAAAAATTTTCACCTACCTTATGGACGTTGTCTTGTGGCCTTTCTTTTGTATTTTATCTCAGGGTCATCTCTTACCACCGACCAGCAGTAATCAGCTATCATTGATGCGCTCAATTTCCCCTGATAACGCCTTTCAAGAGTAGAAATATCTTGGTGAAATCGTTCGCCATGTTCATCACTAACCAATACAAGATTATCAAGTGACAGTGGAGGAAATGCATTTTAAGAGGCATATTGCACCCCATTTTACTGTATGCTTTCAACAATTTGTCTACTAATTCCCCATTGTTTGGCGCCCTGTTGTTTCCAAGAAAATTCCCAACAACTGACTTGAAGGATATAACAAAAGTTGTTACGATTATTGACACATCTACGCGACATTTTGTATATTTTAGTCTAACAAATATCTCATTTAAGTACTCACAACGACGTTTTTGCTGTTTACTACGTAAGCATTCTAAGACGAAGTGAAACACAAAATCCGCACTCCACAAAACATTTGTTTGCCAAACAGAACTGAACCAATTTATTAATCATCCCTTAGGGATGCTGACTAGACCTACAGAAAGAAATAAAACCTTCTCCACCCTTGTACAGGTTGTTTCTGAAGTAAGTAGTCCATTACAATTACGAAAATTGAACGAAACAGCGTGGTATGAATATCTTCGAAATGCGAACCAATCATGCAAAATTAACGTCATTTTCGTGTTTAGCAGCTCAAAATTAGTAAAAATTGGCTAGTTTCATCTCCGATATATTTTGTGCTGTTGAACAGTGTTATGGTCGCAGTTCTTACCGAGGTTGTATACGCTCGAAGAGTTTCCGCAGGACTCCAGTACTTCCCTGTTGTCCCAACCGACGGGGTAGACGGCAGCTCCGCTACACACCAGCACCGCTGTGACGTAACAAAAGGTAACATCAGTGTCCGATTCGTGAACGGGGGTCAGTTTGACGGACATCTTTAATGAGTGGTATTTCAGAGGTTCACACAGTTGGGACATAAATCCACCAGTCGCCCTGATGAAGGCAGCAGGCATCTCCGAAACGTTGGTGAACTTCTACCAGATTGTACGGTTCGTGGCATTTCCTAAATCTAATCTACTCTTAAGAATATTATTTAATTAAATATCAAACATGAAATTCGAAATCAACGTCGGCTTTCACGGTTTATCCGCGTCGAATTCCGCTTCGGCAAACGACACAGTTGCCATCTTAAGTGCGAATACGCACCGTAATCCAGTCAATTCTAACCCAACTGGCAGTTCACACGAAACGAGAAGTGATTTTCAAATTTTACCATTCCAAAAGTTATGCAATGTCTATCACACCTTCTTCGGAAGATTCTCAGTTCGACTAGAATCCCAGAGACCGGCAACACTGACATAGTTGTTCGTGGTTTTCCTCAGCTTCTCAAAGCTACTCTTGTGATTACATCTTACAACAGACCACAGCCTTTTAAATTCATAATCTCGTTCCCATTCGTTGCCACATAACATTCGTAACTGAAGACAGAGTCGTTAAAATCTGGAATCTTCTTCAGTCTCCCCACTCACCCACTGTTAGACGACCCGCAATACGCAAAAAAAAAATCCATCTCACGTCCCCTGCATCTCTTTGCAGGTATCTGTTTGAGAAATACGTAAAAAAATTTCGTTGAAAAGCACAGCCTTAAGGGAGGGACCACTCCGAAGACCTAGGCACAGATGTAATAAGAAGAATAATACTTAATGTAAAATGGCGGGTCTTGACAGGGCGATGTAATCGATGGTATCGATAACTCTGGAACAAACTTGGGCGAGAAACATGGAAGTACTTTTTCACCATCAACTAAACCAGTCAGGCCTGCTCTATGTTCTCTCGCTCAGAATATTAATTTCCTGTTTAAGCCCCAGTCAGCGGAGTGCATTCAAGTTTCCTTACCCAACACCTTATTATCATATTCGTGCCCTGAAAACAAATTGACACAGGGGGTATCAGTCTTTGTGCATTAAAATTACAAGACGGTTCTGTTTATTCTTGAAGAAACACCCACAACGTTCTGAACCCATCACCAATGTTCACTTGTTTGCAGCAAGTATCACCAGTCCGTAGCGTCTAATCATTTAAAGAATCTCATTTTACTAAAGTTGTAACGCAAATTTGTGAACAATCTTTAGTAACGACGCGTGTGTTGTGAGGCTGTGCCCTGGAAACAAGATTTGATAAGCTTTTGTTTTAGTGCGCTCTGCGCTAAAATTGAAACTGTATTGGTTTGCTAGGGCGGCAGGTCATTTACTGAGATGGAAAACTGAGTTTCCGAAACAACTTTAATACAAAACCCATTAATCTTCAAATTCGGGACTGTAAGGGTCGGTAAACGATTCCTCCTGACGACTTTGGCAGTTCTGATAATTTTATTTTGAGTCTGCTCAATCGCTCAGTAAAAATCAAATTAATATCGACCATATCGTCTCAAGTCTAGCCATCTGCTGAAATTTCTCAGAAAACGAAGGCCCCCCCACGAAGATGACTGTGTTGTACGAAACGTCGGCCAATTTCCATGATACTACACGCCACTCAACATCCCAGATTCCCTGGATACCAGCGACCCTTGAAACTCGGCAACCCCCAGAAAACGGAAACGGAATCAAACCAAACTTATCCTAAACTAACCTAATCTAATTTTTATCAGAATTATAGCTGTGATTACACGCAATCTTAGCCAGATGAGTGGGTCCTAAATACATTATAATACTCAAGCAAGACAGAGAGTCACTTTATTCTTTAAGTTAATCAATCAACCATTTCGTTCTAAACGTTACTTAGCCAGCTTTCTTATGTAAGTTAAACAGTCGCTTTTGTTCTGTTAAAAGCTCAATCACAGTGAAGCAACCTAACAGCTTCGTAATGGCTGCATTCACACTTCGTTTCTCTAGAGCAGTGGTATTCAACCTTTTTTGTTCGCGTACCCCCAGATATAATTTCTCTTCGACTCTGTACCCCCAAAGTTGTTGGTGTATAATTCAAGTTATACATAGTTTATAATCTACATCTAAATTAAATAAAATAAATTACATTACTGATTATTCAGTTTTTATCATAAAATAATATATATATTTTTTAAATTTCACGTACCCCCTAAGATGTCTTCGCGTACCCCCAGATATAATTTCTCTTCGACTCTGTACCCCCAAAGTTGTTGGTGTATAATTCAAGTTATACATAGTTTATAATCTACATCTAAATTAAATAAAATAAATTACATTACTGATTATTCAGTTTTTATCATAAAATAATATATATATTTTTTAAATTTCACGTACCCCCGGTTGAATACCATTGCTCTAGATCACCGTTCACCAAAATGGCAGCCGTGTCCCTCGGCGGGGCGTGAATTTTTATTTTCTGGGAGGGGAAAATGGTCTAATTACAATGCATGGAAACTGATAAGAAAGGGCCATATGAAATTACAAACACAAAATAGCGTACTTGACAAATATATTTAATATTTATTAGTCATTATTATATCACGCTAGTGAATCATATTTAAAGCCATTATTATGCATAGTTTACAGACACCTAACTTTTTTATTCACTGAAGGGAGTCTCAGCCTAAAAGAGTCTCGAAACTATTGCTGTGTATTAGTCCGAGTCCTGCTAGAGGCATTTAAAATTTTCGGGAGATACGAGCATAGACAGATAGATAGATAGTTCCTGTAATTCCTAAGTGGAGCAGAGGTCCTCCTATCGGAGGTTTCATAGTCTTTAAAGCGTTCGTTTAAGAGTAGTGAGTGACTAGCCCACCGACTCTGCACAAATTCTACTCACACTTGATTTGACTGCCAGAGCCATCTAGCAGTGAAGCAGTGAATCAGGAGAGACTTGGGTGAAAAATGGCCGCTGAATTTTGCTTACGAAACATCTCGTGATACGACCATATTATTTTTATTTAGTGTTCTGTCTGGCGACAGGTCCATATGAACAGGATCCTTCCATCCTTTTCTCGGACTGGGACCTGTTCATATACGTTCTTGGCAGATGATCCAGAAGTGGTTTGCCATTGCCTTCTTCTGTGTGTGAATGGAGTAATTGTTGGGATGCCACGGAGGAAAACTCCGTGTTGCCTAGACCACGGCCTTGCCCAACACAAGTTATAAATTCGGGCACCGCCGGGAATCGAACCCGAGACCCCAGGATTACAAGGCCAGCGTTCTAACCGCTAGACCACCGTGGAGGTCTTGATACGACAATATCCAATATTAATTCATAAGAACAAAGTTGTGTTGTCGTCACGTGGACGCCTGGTGTCTAGGGGTGATCACTCGTCCAAGGAGTCCTACCAAATGTCTAAACGGATTCGTAATTTCAGAAGTATATTCTAAACTGGCAAACGCAATTAAGGCCTAATCTTTAAAACCTGAAGAATAGAAACACACTCCATGTGTCTAGTACGAAAAAAAATTAAATTGTTAAACGGAATCAATTGCTGCAGTGCAGTTGCTATCCAAACGGCAATAAACTGAACTTGTTTCTCGACACTAATCGTTTGTTGCTGGGACACTTAATTTCCCATGTGAACACTAAATATCACGTGCTGCCAACCCGAGACGGCCAAATTACCATGAACGTCTGTTATTTTCACACAAAAGACGCAGCGCTGTGAAAACAAGTCACGCTGAACTATTTATATCCCTCCAGAGTGCAGCACTGAGGCTGTTTCTTAAACCTTTAGTATAAATCATGTGATGACACACAGGGAGCACTTTGCCTGTATGCTGGTGGTACTGATCATGAAACGTGGATAAATGAATTGAGTTACAGGCTTTAATATATTTCCCAGAATAACACGTTATTCGAGTGTGGTGAATGACGTTCTGATATTTAATCCTTCTGCAGCAATCATTCGAAAACAACTACGTAAAATTTTTCGCCTTTAATACCTATGAATTATCTTTGAAAAATTATTCTGCTTAATTAATAGTAGGGCATAGACATAGAGGTTACTTCAAGCCTAACCTTTCAATTTTGTTTAAAAATAATGCATTTTAAATTCGTACTTTCATTCATTTAACTTTTTCCAATCAATGCTATATGGAAAGGAAAATGTATAATTAATTTTTATTTAGGACTCCGTCTTTGTGTAATTATCCGCAAACTCCGAGGTCATCATTTAATTGAGAACTGACACTAAATACGCACTGTCGGAATCTGACGAAGGAATAACAATCAAGATGTCCTAGATATCAGGATTCAACACAAAGTTGTTACGCCATGCATTGGTCGGTTACTGAAACCGTCCATGTTATAACAATACTGGCCATATTTTGCCGTTGTCTTGGTCACAATATCGGGACCGAAGAAGGCGTTTCTACACCTTCAATGTCACCTACGGCTACCGAAATCAATCAAGACGATGCGTCCTTTCGTACAACATCAAAGAACCCTGCTTTAAAAGAAAAATGACGTTGTGAAAGGACGTAGGTCAATGAATTGGTTCGGATGAAAGCCCCCTTGAAACAGGAAGCCAGTGTCTTGACATTGATTTCCTTTGTCCAGCTGTTCCTAATTTGTCTATAAGCGAGCATGTGTTACATTCAAAATACTCTTCCCATACACAATCACTGCTAAACTTCCCGCGAAGAATGGCGAGAAAATTTAAACTAATAAACATAAACAATCATAAATATTATCCCGTACGGCCAAAAATACCTTAAAGATCATTACCGTGGTAACTGTTATAACGTTTAAGAGATCACTTATCGCCCTGATGATGGAGGCAAAAAGAACCTCTGAAATGTCAGTAAACTTCTACCAGACCATACAAAATGACAACCCATATTCATGTAGTGGGAGGTACAATAGATCTGTGCATTCATAATTATTTCTAAAATTATTATTAATATTATTACAACGTAA